TTCTTTCTCCCAAAGAAAAGAATGTAAGGTTGCTGAGATCACTCCCAACTGAGTGGTACACCAAAGCCACAGCCATGGAAGAAGGAAGAAACCTGGAAAACTACACTGTTCAAGGTCTCCTTGATGAACTCAGAACCTATGAGCACGAGCTGAAAAAGAAGAAGGAAGAACAAGTCACTCCCTTCCCCACGGCATTGATGACAACTTCAAGAATTCCATCAAGTGAAGGGACATGCACAAGAAACTGTGACACACCTTCCTCTAGCCAGCCGTCAAGCTCAAAAATGGAGAACTACGAAGAGGATTTTGCCATGATGGTCAAACAATTCCGGAAGTTCAAGAAGTTCTTCAAGAAGGCTGATTCAATCAGAAGGCCATCCAAGGGAAAGCCACAGGTAAGTGACTCCCCTCCTGAATCTTATTTATGTTATAACTGCATGAAGCCTGGCCACTGGAAGTCAGCATGCCCGTACCCAAAAGTGGAGAAGTACGGAGAAAGAGAAAGGATCGAGAAGAAAAAGAAAGCAATGGTTGCTGCTGAAAGTGACGAGTCATCCAGCTCAAGCTCGGATGAAGAAGCCCTCGTTTGCATGGAGCGCAGAGTTGAGAAGTCCAACCATGAGGATAGGTGGACTATGTCAGAAGATGACACTCTCTGCCTAATGGCGAAAGATGATGCTGATCAAGAGGAAGCCGCTAAGTACCCAGGTGTCTGGTACTTAGACAGTGGCTGTTCAAGACACATGACGGGTGATGCGAGCCTTTTGAGCAATCTAATTCCCTATGATGGTCCAAGAGTTACTTTTGGAGGAAGCAATGATTTCGGCCTCACTAAAGGGTTAGGAAATCTGGTGTACAAGTGACTAACCATCCAAGCTGTATCTTATGTTGAAGGACTCAATTATAACCTTCTTAGCATAAGTCAGTTTTGTGAAAAAAGGTTACTCCTTGGAATTCTGCAAGAATATGGCATCTCTCAAGAACATCTCCACAAATGAAGTCATTCTCACTGGGAAGAGAATCAGAAACATCTATGAAGTAATATGGAGCGATGTCAAGGAAGCATGTCTAATCAGCAAAGGTGACACTAACCTTCTATGGCTTTGGCATAAGAGGTTGAGTCATCTCAACTTCAAAACCCTCAACAAGCTGTCCAAAGAAGAGTTAGTAGAAGGTCTTCCCAAAGCTGCATTCAGAAAGGAAAGTACTTGTGATGCTTGCCATAAAGGAAAGCAAGTCAAGTCCACCTTCAAGGCAAAATCGGCACCCTTAACTACAAGGATATTAAGTCTCATTCACATGGACTTATTTGGCCCTGTTACACAAATAAGTCTAAGTGGAAAGAAATATGTCCTGGTGATAGTTGATGATTACTCAAGATACACGTGGACAATCTACCTCAACAGCAAGAAGGAGACTCAAGGGAAACTCACCAACTGCATGAAGCTGATTCAAAACCAAGCAAGTCAGACCATTCAGAATATCAGATCTGACAAAGGCACAGAATTCCTAAATGAAATCATCATTCACTACTGTGAAGAAAACGGAATTCTTCACCAGACATCCGCAGCAAGGACACCTCAACAAAATGGTGTAGCTGAAAGAAGGAACAGAACCCTAAAGGAAGCAGTGAGAACCATGCTAGCAGAAGCTTCCTTACCAAAGAGGTTCTGGGCTGAAGCTGTTAACACAGCCTGCTGTACTCAAAATAGGAGTATGATTTATAAAAGGCACAACAAAACTCCCTATGAACTGTGGAACGGGAGAAAGCCTAATATATCATATTTCCATATTTTTGGGAGCAAGTGCTTTGTGATGAAAAATCAGATGAAGCCATCTTTCTTGGATACTCTATGATGAGCAAGGCATTCAGAGTTTTCAACAAAAGAACCAAGATCACGGAAGATTCAATACATGTTATTTTTGATGAAAAACATGTGGTTGACAAGCCGTCAAAGCATGACCATGAAGTTCTGGATCTATCAGACAAGGATGAAGAAGTCAATGAAGGAGATAGAATAAAGCCCACGGAGTTCATTCCATTCAAAAGTCTGCCTCTGAGGACTTCACAAAGAAATCCGGATTTAGACAGTGCTAAGCCCTCTGGAAATTTTGGCCAGCCTTCCAATATTCCGGATCTCTCAAACGGCGATAATTCCGGAAATAGCGACCCAGTGCGAATCCATCCGGAAACACCAACAACTTCTGTTCTTCAACCAGAAGCTGGACTAAATCAACCAGTCAATCCCAATCAACACAATCTTCGTTGGTTAAGGAATCCTCCTCCTCAACAGATCATCGGAGATATTCAATCTGGTGTTCGCACAAGGAGTGCCTAACAGAATCTAGAAGCTATGCTTGCTTGTTTCATCTCACAAGTAGAACCAAAGAATATTGAAGAAGCTCTAGCTGATTCTAATTGGATCAATGCAATGCAAGAAGAACTCAACCAGTTTTCCAGAAATGATGTCTGGAAACTTGTTCCCAGACCTACTCATCAACATGTCATTGGGACAAAGTGGGTCTTCCGGAACAAGATGGATGAAAACGACGTTGTTGTCAGAAACAAGGCCCGGTTAGTTGCAAAAGGATATTGTCAAGAAGAAGGTATAGATTTTGATGAAACCTTCGCTCGTGTTGCTAGACTTGAAGCTATAAGGCTGTTTCTAACCTTTGCTGCTCATAAGGACTTCAAGGTCTATCAAATGGACGTCAAAAGCGCATTTCTCAACGGAAACCTAGAGGAAGAAGTGTATGTGGAACAACCTCCAGGATTTGAGTTACACACTAAGGGAGATCAAGTGTATAGACTCAAAAAGGCGTTGTATGGATTCAAACAAGCACCAAGAGCTTGGTATGATACATTGTCTCAATTTCTTATAGACAATGGATTTACCAAAGGAGTAATTGACAAGACATTGTTCATACTACAAGATGGAGAAGATCTCCTATTAGTTCAGATCTATGTGGACGACATCATATTTGGCTCAACTAAGGAAGATCTATGCACCAAGTTCTCAACCCTCATGCAAGGAAAATTTGAGATGAGCATGATAGGGGAACTCAACTACTTCCTTGGCCTTCAAATCAAATAGAGAAGTGAAGGCACTCTCATCAATCAAGCCAAGTATACAAGGGATCTTATCAAGAAGTTTAAAGTTGATCAGAAATCATCCGTTTCTGTCCCCATGAATACATCCACCAAGCTTGATATGGATATAGATGGAAAGGATGTAGATCAAACTCTCTACAGAGGAATTGTCGGATCTCTACTTTACCTTACTGCAAGCCGTCCGGATATCTCATATGCAGTAGGTGTTTGTGCCAGATTCCAGTCAAAGCCAAAGGAAAGTCATCTGATAGCAGCTAAAAGGATTCTTAGATACCTCAAAGGAACTCAGAACATGGGTTTGTGGTATGCTAAGAGCAATTCATTTGAGTTAGTGGGATACTCAGATTCTGACTTTGCCGGATGCAAAGTTGACCGGAAAAGTACATCTGGTACTTGTCAATTCATTGGTGGAAATCTTGTTTCTTGGTTCAGTAAGAAACAAAACTCCATTTCTACATCAA